CTCTTTGCATACGGCATTACGAATTTATGATGCTGCCGGAGCTGAAAGAGCTCTATCATCATTTACTCACATCAGAACACGCGCTGGTTAATATGAGAATTCAGGTGCTTAACAACATTGAAGTGTACTTGCAGGAGGAGGAAAAAAGAATGATCAAACAAGATCTCGAATGGGCGAAAATGTCGAAGCAGGAGAATCTAAAAGAGATGGGTGACGTGTCGTCGGGCATGGCGAGCACCGTGATCCAGCTCTACATCAAGGAAATTCTTGAGTCTTTTCTACACATCAACATAAGTGTACGACACGCGGCCCTTAAAGTTATCCAACTAATCTTGTCGCAGGGTTTGGTGCATCCCGTCCAGATAGTGCCCTACCTGATATGCATGAGTACCGATTGCGAGAAGGCGGTGAGTCACAGCGCGGACAAATGGCTGCAGGACATTGAAAAGAAGTATCCGGGTTTCATCCATATGAAGTCGCAGTTTGGCATCAAGTTGAGTTATCGACTGCAGAAAATTTTGCAGAATGATATTACGGTGAGAGGTATGCGGACGAAGGACGGCGAATTCCCAGGCGCGCTCAACGGTTTCCTCTATACGATTCTGCGCAGCACGAAGCAGCAAAGGCGGGCATTCGTGCTGTCCTTTCTCAAGCGCTTCGACGAGACTGCCAAGACCAGTCTGTCGCAGATGCTGTACCTGGCAGACAATCTCGCTTATTTTACATATCAGGTGCAGGACGAGCCGCTCTTCATTATCCATCACATTGATATTATCATTTCCATGTCTGGTACGAACGTGCTGCAGTCTTTCAAAGAGGCTTTGCTGCCCAAGGAGAGCAATATGCAATCGCAGTGTGGACAATCCGAATTGATGTCGGGACAGATGACGGGGCAAATGATGCCGACGCCATCGGTACAGACGATGGCAACGGGACCAAATGGTCAACCAAAATCAGATCAGTTATTGTCGGCTCTAGAAGACGAAGAGGACGATGAGGAGGATGAAGAAGCTATTTTGGTCAGATTACCAGATAACACCACCTTGCTCAGGGAATATATTACCGCCAGTCAAGGTTTCTTACTTTTACTGACACTTCGGCAGCATCTCAAGGATCTTTATGGTTTCTCTGACGCGAAGATCAGTCAGTATTCGCCTTCGGAAGCGGCCAAAGTCTATGAAAAAGCGGTTAATCGCAAAAATAATTTGCTCTTCGAGCCCAAGGCCACGTTACAGAGACTACGGGAAGGCGTGACCAATGAGGAACTGGACACAAACGGCAGGAAGAAGCTCGTGAAGGAGTATCTAGACTTCAAACAATTGATGCTCAAGTTTGATCCCGAGGAACCAGACGACGATGGTGGTAACGATGTCGGCGACGTCAGTGGTGGCAACAAGCAGAATGCGGAGAATCCGCAAGCGGCGAGGATACCACCGCATCCTGTGGTCGATGGCAGCAGAATGATAGCGGACGGCGCTGTCGTAGGAGACACCACCCTGGCTGTCGCGGGCGGTCAGCAACAGTTTCAGTTACTACCGCAATCAAATCTGAATCTGAACTCCGCTTCGATGGAGCATCCGAACAACTCGGTGAATTCGCTGCCGGCGGCAGCAGCAGCAACGCCAACGACGACGCTGCCGCGAGTACCGAAATTGACGATACACGCCCATCCAGATGCGAGGGAGTCGCATCGCAAGCACCGCGCGCACAAGACGGACAAATCGGTGAGGAAGCACAAGAAGAAGAAGAGGAGAAGAATCTCCGACACCAGCGACAGCGGCGAGGACTACAGTGACCCTGACTTCCTCGTGTGAGTGCAGTGGTATATCTCATCCTATGTGTACATATAAATATCCGTGATAGTGTGTGTGCGTGCGATCCATCGGCTGGAATGATTCACGTTCCACACCGATACCTGGACGCTGTTGTAGCGCGACGGTCCCTTTCCCTTGGTCCCCTGAAACGATTCTCTTTCCCAACCTCTCAAAGTTGTGCTACGACTTTGAAGACGGTTCAATGAGACCGTTTCAGGTCAAGAAACTGCATAGAGACTATAATAGTGATGTGGAAATGCGTGTGAGCGCGAGAGAAAGAGAGAGAGAGAGATCTTCTGTAAGAATGATAGCCAGAGATTTTTAAATGCGATCGATTGAGGTAGGATTAGCGTGTTGTTGGCCGAAACGGCGGGCATCCGAGGTTTATCGATCTGCCATGCCGTTGTTAGCGAGATCGGCTCGTTAAATATTTCGTGCGACCGGCTCGGGAACTTGTGGCGGGTTCATTCGAGAATTAGCTTCTGCTTTCTCCCCGTCGAGACGCTTTCGATTAGGGAGCTTATAGATGATCACTCGATTCCGCCGAAATAGCGCAGAAAGCAAGGGATTACGAATGATCCCCGAGAAGATACTATGAACAAGTTTCCCGAGAGAAATCAAGTACAATAAATTACGTTTGCGAACAAAATTCACCTGTAAATAATATCACATAGTGACGACGATGTCTAATACAACTGTTGATTAATTCTTTTCATGGAGAAAGAAATTAGAGCGCAAAGAGAAAGAAAAGCATTAAAAAAACGATATATAGATTTAAATGATATCGGTGTCGATCGATATTGATTCGTCGTTGCTTCCTCTTTCTCCTTTTTCAGACTGAATTTGAATACAAGTAAGCACTGCTTATTTCGATAATGCTAAATTATTAAAATTTAGATACATTTATGCTAATACGCGTGCGCGTTGATTTATAGGTAAACATTAAAAATATTTTGTGTTTTGTGCTTTAAAGTTTATTAAAATTAAAGTATGTACACACAACTGTGCACAGAATAACATTTCCACGACGATTACTCTAAAATACTTCTGTAATAATATTTTAATATTTGTAAAAAAAGGTAGAAAAATAAATTGCTGCTTTAAGACACATTTGACAAATACAACAAATTTAATAAAAAAGAAGATAAATTCAAATGGTCTAATATTAATCTAATAAAAAGATTACTTAGAACAAACAAAAAATTTATTATAATAAAATTTATTTGAAAGATTAATATTTATCTGATATTAACAAAGAAAGAGTTTGAGGATGTGATATCAAATATTACTATACTTATGTTAATTAAAACATTTATTAAATACATTTATTATATACAAAAGTCTCAAAATAAATTATTTTGTGCTTTCAAAAGTGTAATACAGAATTTACGTTTAAGAAATAATTATACTAATTATAAATGATACGCAAAAAAAAAAGAGATTAGAAAAAATTACACGTTCTTAAGCATATCCGGGAATTTTTAAAGTAAGGCCAGAGTATTATCGATATAAGCGGTAATTACTCGCCTTCAAGGAGCTGTACCAAATATCAAAGGTCCACAAAATTCGGCAAACAATACGAAACGAACTTCGATGGAGGGCGGACCCGTATAGATCCTCTCCTGCAGTATGTATAATAATAGAGGTGTGTAGCAGGACGCATTGCCTATGCATTACGAAACGTTGTTTGTAATATCTGTACATATAAAAATCTTCAAGTAAAGTATCTTATTTTCGTACAAACTATATAGCGGTGACATTTACGAAGAATACTTAAGATTTTGTTGTAATATTAAGTATTTATTCAGGATTTATATGTTGTCCCAATATAGTTTGCTTCACATACACACACTCACTCGTCCTTGATGTACGAATACGATAAAAAAAAAAAGAACAAAATAAAACAAAGGTATCATTTTTATACAAGCTTATAGAGGTAAACGGTAAAAAGGGACCTCTTGTTAACATGAAAGAAATACGGGAGAAATTCACAGCGCGATGTGGCATACCTACTCGAGAAGAGTGCGATCTTATATATTTCAATTTGTCGTAATTGAAATAATCATTTGAAATAATTAAATTTTATCATTTGTAAATCCTTAGAATTTTTGTAGATTTATGTATGTAAATTCCAAGAATATACGAGTTACATTGGACTATACACAATTCACAACTCAAAAAAAGTAATATTTAGTACTATTATTTAAACGTGTATGTTTAATATGTTAAATATAATATGTTAAATGTAGAAAATAAAGTCGAATATTTCAAAAATTATTTGTAGGAAATGTAACACACATACATATAATAATTAAAAAAATAATTGAAAGATTTGTATTAACTATTAATTTTTACAAAACTTTACGAATGGATTCAATTTTGAGATCGCACTCTCCGCTTTCGTTTTCGTTTCCTTCGCCAGTATAACAGCTGTTACTAGACTTGAAAAGAAATCCGATGAATTTGTCGGGCAATATATATGAACACAAGAGAAATATTTTTTTCTTTTTCCATATTTATAGAAATCCAAACGTATGACTCAAATGTACGACATGACTAGATTCAAGACAGCTATAATTTCGAAAATTATAAAGGAGCTGCATAAAATTTCTTTTTACTGCGGTGATTAATTCTTGTTATATATTTATAATTAACAAGATACGCATACACAAGATACGATGAAAGAATGAAAAAAAAGAGGCGAGACATCGTCGCATTCTTGTTACGGGATGGGATGCGAGCGCAAACTGACCCAAGATCGTACCTCCCCCCCCCCCCCCCCC